GACAGCATCTTCTGCCTGCCACACAGTAAGTGAGCCAATCCCAAACCCCATCTGACCTCCTGTTTTCTCATGTCCCTCTCAGTGACTCTTGTAGACTTGGTCTTCTGAGAAGCAGGTACCAAGATGGGCTTAAATGTGAAAAGATTCTGTTAGAAAAGCCTGCATGAAAGGAACTAGGGAAGGAGCAGGAGAAGGCTGGGAAGGTAGCTCCAGCGAAGGGCAGAGGGAGAGAAGGTTAGGTGGAAGTGGAAGCATCCCAGGCTGGCCTGCAGCCTAAGGGAAGTTTGGCAAAGCCATCAGGGACTCCTTAAGCCAAAGTCACAGACAATGGAGTCCTGTGTTTCCCAGGAACAGGTCTGCTTTAGTATCCCCACTGCACCAGATCCTGGCAAGGAACAGCCCGTGGGAGGTGTGGTCTTGAAGCAAAAGCAGTGATGGATTTCAAAGCCCAATAGCAAGGTCCTCCATCCGTTAACCTCCCTGTCCTGGGAGGTCTGAGAGGTGCATTCCCTGGGTGGCCACAATAACTGCTTTTCCTAAGGGCATTTCAAGTTTTCAACCAAAGAACCCTCCAATCTCCTACTCTGAGGTTTAATCCCAGCTGCTGGTTTTCTGCGAGTAGAGCAAAGGAAGCAAGCTGAGAGCGCCATTATTCAGGTTGCATATTTTCACTTAATTCCATCATGTTTAGACCTGTATCTCACTCTCAACCCTCCTCTGTGCCTGAAGGCCCAAAGTCCAGAGTTACTGCAGCAAAATTTTTCCAGAAAATAGACTGACCAAAAGAGAATATTCTGACTACATGGGGTGGCAGAAGGGTCCCAGTAGCCAACTGCTTCACGTGTATGTTCAACTGATCTGCCAGCTTCCAGCTCCTTCCTCACCTCCACCTTCTCCAGTGCCTGGGGCTGCCAAGTCCTAAGGCACTAAGACGTTCTGAAGAGTGACTGCTTTGTTTTCACTGACAGTCTTCTCAGCAGGCACTTGGCTGTTGCTTCTTCAACTCTAAATCAATGACTATTCCTCCAACTGAGGGTTTCCGAAAATTTGTTTATACTCTTGCCCAAACCCATAGAATGTACAACACCAAGAATAAGCCCTAGGGTAAACTATGGACTTGGGTGATTATTATGGGTCAACATAGGTTTATTCTGATGAGGGATGTTGATAAGGGGAGAGGCTATGCACGTGGTAGGGGATATGGGTATGTGGGGAGTCTCTGTATCTTCCTCCCAATTTTGTTGTGAACCTAACACTGCTCTAAAAAAGTAAAGAATTAATTAATGTATTAATTTTTAAAATTGCCTGGAGAAAAAATGAGAACACATTTTGGATTTTGTGAAAATTATATTAGTCATTAATTACTTTGGACCATTAAAAGCAAGATATTTGTGATTCTATTTATAAAATTATCATACACATTCAGAAATCCTTTAAAAATTATAAAATCATACTATGACAACTTTAAGGTTCATTCTAGATTTTGATTCTTTACTGACTTCAAAATGAACTACTATTTTAAAAATGATTTTATCATATGCACATAGTCTCTCATCCCGTCACTTCCCATTCATTGGAAGACCCACAACTTAAAGTTCTTGGTCTTCCCAAGGAGCTAGTTTTACCTGATTATATAACCAGTGGGCACATACTAGAAAATTGCAGCCTGGAAAGACATACTAAAGCTACAGCTAAACTGAAGATCACCAGAAATTGACCCCCCAAAGATCACACACAAAAACAATATTAATTCTTCTACTATCATGGAAGAGCTGATTTGTTTTGCTTTCAAAACTAATCAGTTCTTCACATTCCAAGCAGTATTATAACCTCACTTATGTTCATGTCTTAATTTGCTTGTGAAAAGTCACTTTCTAAAAGGAGACTGAAACAACAGGGTACGAATAAGAAATTTCAGGATACCACTTACATACCTGACGTCAAATACACTTAGATATTTTAAAGTCCCTTTCCTCTATCCCAAGTAGAAAGGAAGTACTATTTGCCACCTATTTTTTTAAACAACGGTAATTGCTGTACTAAAGAACACATTAAAAACTGCAAGTTAAAAAAATCATTCTATTGAATGCTTACAAGAGAAAAACCTGAGACTACAATTAAACACACCTAGATAGGCAGTCCTTCTCAATGAAGGCAATTGTTAACAATGAGCACAGCGTTCTGCGCTTAAATGCCAAGCGCCCCCTTGTGGACAATACTGTTATTAGATTTATATGTAAAATCTGCCTAACTTTTCTCTGATTTGAGGCTACACCTGTCTCCAAATTAACTATTCTGATCTTCGGGAAGAATACAGATCTATTGATGCCTGTGACAGAATACTTCACATTGATTCTACAGACATAGTTTTTAACAAATTGAACCTTCCTTAAAATATTATAAGAACATATTAAAGGATTTGGATTTTGGCAAATTGGCTTTCTATGAATTAATTTTCTACAAGTTGACCAAGAGTCCTGCAGAGAACATCTGAGGTGAGACCAAACATCTTCCCAAAGAATATCTCTGTCTCCACCCGCCTCTCTCATGCTTCCCATCACCAGTCGGTCTTGCCGGCTCTAGGAGCAGGATCTCCGGTGCTACAACCATCTGACTGACAGACAGAGCGTGTGTGCTGGTGAGAGGTTACCTTGCGGGTCCTCGTTGTCTGGGTGTAGTGGAAAACAAAGGAGAGTGCGCTGGTGGGAAAATTAGGCAGAGAGAAATAGGGGCGCTATGGTCTGAATGTGTGTCTTCTCACTCCCTAATTCACATATTGAAATTAATGTCTGATGTGCATTCCAGTGTGCAGTAGAGTTGACCACAGGGATGTGGTGGAACTTGTTGATAATGATACTACCTTCAGATGAGAAAAGTAATCTGCAAACAGTTGAGGGTTTAAAGTTAATCTGTATCAGAAAAGGATTAGAACCTCATTCTCACTTAAATGAATACTTTTTTCTAAAATATTAAAATCAAGTCCATTTTAGTGATCCAGTTTGAAAATAACTTACTGAACATTTCATTTTCTTTTCCTAATGATAACATTTAAAGAAATTAGACATACACAGGTCAAAAACCAGTGTTCATCCTTTTGTTGCCCATAAGCAAACCTGCAATTAGAAGTTACTCAAAATCAGTATTCTAACTAACTGACATCAGTTTCTGAAGTACGCATGTACAGGTTACCCCTAAAGACTGAGCAATACACAATAAGGATAAAAAATCAGTCAATTTACAAACAGTGTTTGAATTCATACTCTATCCAATAAAAACAACTAATTTAGGCCCTTCAATTATCAACTTAGTAGAAAACCAAAAATGTGTGCATTACACAAACAGTGCACATCTGAATCAATCTCACAAATACTGTTTTTATATAAAGAATAAGACAATTATCTCTTGGACTCTCGGATAAGAGAGATTTCCTGACTGGATATAGGATTCTTGGAACCAGTGCTTCTTGCTCAGCAGTTCGCTACCTCTGTCACCAACTCCCTGGCTAGATCCCTAATCCCTGCTCTTCAGACAAACCCCTCCTGGATTCTACCGTGTCAGAAAACCCAAATACTCAAACAGGGCATCTGCCCAATGAATGGAGAGGACAAGAGCCTGAACTTTCGTTATCTTTCCTTTCTGCTTAATATGTGGTGCCACTCTTGGTTCTTCTAACATTTCTTTAGTCCTTTGCTGAAGAGAAATAGAATTCTCTGCCTCCATATCTAAACCTCTTAGACACATTTTCGTCAAGAATAACACCAACTCGTCAAGGGAAATTTTCCCATGTTACACCCGCACCTGTTCGTACCCTCCGCAAGGCTACATATCCTGTTTCTTGAGCTAGGACTGGGGGTGGGTTGTCAAGACACAGGCAACTGGAATATTTTACATTCTGAAGGTAGTACTTGACATTTTCTATTCTATAGGGAGTATGGAAATCCGACCTACAGTTGAGAAACACTAAGTGTAAAACAGCCCTTGCAGTAATTTCTAAATACCACAAGATGGCGATATGACTCCATGGCAGAGAAAAAAACCTTTTTTTCCCAATTAAAAAATGTTATTTTCCTGACTTTTCAAGACATAGCTGTATGGGGATTTCTGAGTTGCAAATGACAGAGAGGAGTGCAAAAAAGCTGATTTCTCATTTGATTCATTAACAAAAATACAAGATTTTTCTTTATCTTTCACTAAAGCTTTGCAGTTATTCAAAGAGTACCCTCCCAGAAATGCTCAGGACTCTGTGAATGTAGTTCTATAGATCCGTGCTCCACTTACAGCTGTTACAAAGCCTGTTACTTCTGATCAGCATATGGAAGGCGCGTTGCTACAGCATAGTTAAATGGCGTCGTTTCTTTTAGGGGAAGAGAATCTGACTCCTCATTTCCAGACTGTGTGAAACTGACTAAACCAATCTCTTTAAGCTTAGAATCACATGTACGGAAGGGAACAACATTAAATTTTATGTCATGGGGTTGTTGCAAGACTGAAAATAATTTGTAGATTATATATGTTTAATTAAGGCCAAATTATTATTATTACTAGTGTAATGTTAAGACCTGCCAATTAAGCTGAGTATTTTACTTTCATTTTCATACAAAGTACCCTTGATTTATTTACAAGACTTCCATGTTTTTCTGAGTATTTTTGAAATAAAAATTCAGCAAGAGTCCAACGTAACACTCACGCTTTGGTCCTCCTCTACAATTTAAAGGACAAATATCTGATTGAAGGAAAAACAAACGAATGTGCTTTGTAAAGTATAAAACATAAATTTATTTATCAGGGATTAAAATGAACTTTCAAAGAAAGATGTCACTAGGGTAACCAAAAGAAAAAGTAGGTGGAGCAGCCCAGTGGGGTTATAGGGTAATTTATGGATTCTCTGTTGTTAGATTTTATATATACTCTGTGTGTGTGTGTGTGTGCATGAATGTGGACGTATGTGTGAGTGTATACCTGCATGAAACTGTTTTAGATGGGTGTGAGAGAGGTATTTCTGAGTTAAATAAGCTCTTTTAGGTTGCAGGGAATAGACACACACTCAGGTTTCCCCCAGCCTGACCTCTGAGCTCCTTTCACTTCTGTTTTGTTTGTGCCTGTGACAGAATCCCTGCCCAGATTTGCAGGGGAGAGATTAAGCTGAAGGCCTCTTTTATTCCTAAAATCCTAGGAACAGCCCCGATGAACAAAACATTGGGACCTTGCTACGGTCTTTAAACTACTGTTTAGAATCCGTCGGGGAAGAATATACATAATTTCCTTCAATTCTTCCTTTTGTTTAACCATCTTTTACTCACCACTGGCATCTGTTCATAGACACGAATAGAAGACAGTCTGTCTACAATAAAGCAAATATGAGCAACTGATGTTTTATCAGTTTTAATTCAACTTCTAAAACATATATATAGTTGCTTCTGTATCTGAAGGAATTCCTCGGAATTTTTCCATTTTTTCTTTGAGAGAAACAATTTGCTTTTCTAGTTGATCATTTAGTTCAACTTGTGTCTCATAACAACTTTTCCATTCACCACCTGAGTGAAAAGGGGAAGACACAAGATCACCTCACCTCCTCTCATTTGCTCATTAAGCCAACACTACTCTGTTGCTAGACTGGACTTTACCAGCAATACAGATGAACTAGAGTGAACTAGTGTCTAAGTGCGCATTCTCTGTTAGGATCTTTATGGATGCTACCCTCACACATTACCACCCAGCCGGACCTCATTGCCACAACTGTCCTTTAGTTCCCCATGTATCCTTATGAGGGATTCTATCAGACAAAATATCAGGAACACGTTTCTTTCCTTGGAACTCAGAACGTTCATATATTACAGCCTAAATAGTACTAGCTTCCCATCCAAAGTCCTATTCATTTTTTTCCTTTGCAAAAGAATTCTGGCCTGTTTAACAACTACCAATTCTGTTTGCTATGTTAAAAGCATACAATGCCTTACATATGTTAACTAATTTAATCCTCAGTGACAAAAACTCAGTTACCCATTTTACAGATGAGGAAACCAAGGTTCAGAGATGTCAAATAACATTATTAAGATGACATGCTAATCAAGGGGGAACTGGGGTTTCAACCCAGTTTGTTCTGACTTGAAAGTGTGCTACAGTAACACTGTTTATATTTGGCTATCTATATAGGCATCTTCTCTTATCCTTAAGCAGCACCCCCCCCCCAATAAATTCCTTTAGCTACTGAAGCCAAAACATTTGTCTTATTGCTCTGGGAGGATACAGCCTAGAATTAAAACCTCCTTTTTCAGCTACAAGGTCCAAAGCTAATTTTTTTTTTTGAGTCTTGAAAATCATACTTTGCAGAGAGAAAAAAGATGGCATGTTTCTAAACTTTAGATGCTCTTTACATACATGGGACAACTTCTGCTACATAATAGTCTTTTGGGGAGTCTAAGCAGAAAGACTTATTAGCTCACACCACTGCCAGCCTCCTCAACTCTGCCTCAACCTGCCTTTGCCCTCATCTCTAAGCAAATGTAGTCTACAAGGAGAGGGGCAGGAATGCCCTCCCCAGCTGAAGTCCAAAGTCATTAATCCAAATGCTTAACAACTGGATGGAGGCCCAAAAAACTGGAGATTAATAACATTTTTGTTTTCTTTTCACATAACAGCATTGGCTCCCACAAATCCAGTCAGCTTTCTACTTATCAACCGTTTTCTTTCCTAAAAAAGGACCACACTGAGTTTTACTTTCCCTGCCACACTTGTTCTGTGATAAACCAGAAGTAATGAAAACACTAAGGTTTGCAATTTTTGCAAAATTTTTGAAAAATCATTTTTCATCTGTCTTTAAAATGCAGTAAGGTTTAAATTATGCTTTCAACTGAGAATAAGATTAGCAGTTCAAAACAGCAAGTTTTTGGAATAATCTTGATACTACGGGACGTTCAAAGCCATCTGAAACCAGTCCAAGTAAGAGATGTGCTGTGATTAGATGACCACAATAAACATGGTGCCAGAAAAAATCATCCCTGACCTTGAGCACAACAGCCAACCTATCCAAGCCTAAGATATAATAAGCCATTATTATACTAGAGACTATTTATGAGGATAAAAATTTAACAGAAACATTTGTGTCTCTTGGGGGGGAAAAATACCCGAGTAGTATGAAACCACATGAAACCACAGCTTTTGTAGTAACTCTAAAAACAAACAAAAAAAACTTGTACTGTACTTTCGAAGGGAAAATATCAAATTGCTTTGCAATATCAGAGAAGGATCTTGGCTAGAATCAGTACAACAAAAAGCAAAAGCAAACCCAAAATTTAAAAAATGTAGAAGTTTGACTCATGGTCAATTTTATGAATTGACCTTGAAAGGAGAAGTTCATAAAGCAAAAGATAATTAGGTAGAGGCCTATCTTTCAAATATGGATTTTTTTCCCAAACATAGGTAGCATATTAACAAAAATAAAAAACCAAAGCTCAACTAAACAATAATGCCAAATAATAAGTTTTAAAGTGTTAAAAAAGAACACAGTTGAATGGACTGAAACTTGACCCTACATGGACTTTAATATTTCAGTCATATTTGTGTTGTTCACTACATTTATCGTGATTACGGTGATGGAATTACGTTCATTTGAAAAGACTTTGTAAAATCAGAAAATGTTAACAAGGAAAGGAAAGAGCCTACTATGTGGCACTGCACTAGGCAACAGGGATAAAAACTAAAATAGACACAGTCCCTACTGTCAGTCAGCAGCAAGGCCAGGAGGGGAGGGCAGGGAGCAGGGAGACATACAGCCTGAACATTTGTGACTATAATGTACAGACAGGACCTTTAAAAAGGTCATTAAGGTCAAATGAGGTCATATGGTTCCCCTAATCCAATATGACTAGACTCCTAATAAGAAGAAATGAGGGCACAGATAGGTACAGAGGGGAGACCAGGTGAAGACACGAAGACGACAGCCATCTACAAGCCAAGATGAGAGGTCTCAGAAGAAATCAACCTTGCCAACACCATGACCTCGGATTTACAGTCTCCATAACCGTGAGAAAAGTTGTTTCCGTGGTTTAACCCAGTCTGTCCATTGTACTTTGTTATGGAAGCGCTAACAAACTAACACACTATCTACTCTGTTCTATTCATTTGTTTCCAGTTTTAATGATTATAGCTTTATTATATCTTGTAGGAGTCCTCTCACCCCCAATTTCTTACCAGTTATCCCTGTCTAGATATTCATCCAGTTAACTTTAGAGTCAGTTATTGAAGGTAAGAAAAAAATACTTGTTTTAATGAGAATTATATATCAATAAATTAATTTGATGAGAATGAGCATATTTATAACATCCAATTCTCCCATATAGGAAAAGTCTATGTCCCTCTTATAAAACCTTAATAACAAATTTCCCAGTTTCATTTTACTTTAGGGTTTCTCTCCAGTATGAAATCCCTTATGTTGAATAAGGTGAGAATTCCAGCTGAATGGTTATTACTCCCATGTAGTCACAGTCTTCTGCTGTCTTCATATAGGTCCTGAATACTTCCTGATATTTCTTATCAAGGATATTGTCAGATATTCTATGATTTAGGTTAGAATTGTTGGTGCAATTTTTTTTTAAATCCCTATTTTCTAACTGGTTATTGCTTTTTTTTTAATAAAATTTTTTTCTACTACTGTATCAAACCATTTTATAATTTTTCACTAGTATACTAGGTTTTCAATTCATCTTCTGGAAAGCTCTGGATACCAGATAATAAAAGTTCAAAATTATAATTTTATCTCTTCCTATCTAACAAATATAATTCTTATTTCTGTTTCATATTTTATTGCTTGACTGGAACCTTCAAAACAATATTAAGTTTTAATGGTGGCAGGAGCTATCTTTGCTTTTTTCCAAGAACGGGAATGCCTTTAATGTTTTATCATTAAGTATTATGCAAATTCAGGATAAACAGAAATTTTTTCCTTAAAAAAGGACAAATTGAATTCTTACCAAAACGTTTTTTAGCATTCACTAATGAGTTTTAAAAAAAACTACTTGACCTACTAACATGTATCTTCATAGCCAAAGGATTTTGAACTAGAAACCAGCCTGTAAAATGAAGACTGAAAAGGAGCTCAAAGGAGAAGCCCGGGATGCAGATGTAAATTTGTGTGCTGCTGGTATACAGGGGCATTCGACACCATATGATCAGATGAGATCACCTGAGTAGTGGGTGTGCGCATCAAAGAAAATACTCCAAGTTCTTAGAACTGATCAAGATGAAGAGGAATGAGGAGTAGCCAGTAGGTATGAAGAAAACCAAGAGTGCATGGTGTCCCAGGAATCAGGTCAGCAAAGGATTTCAAGGATGAGATGAGGGTGATGAATCGTAGCAATGCCATTGGGAAGTCAAGATGAGGACTGAGAGATGACACTGGATTTAGCAAATAGAAAGTCACTGGTGACCTTGACAAGAACAGTTTCAGTCGATTAGAGATGACACTTCCAACTGAAGTGAGTCCAAGAGAGAATGAGACGGTCTTGCTTATGCTGAGCAAATCCAGCCCATTTCTATCCCTAGATGAACAGTGTCCCAGAGCCTCAGCAAATTAAGGTTCTCTCTTCCATGAAAAAAGTTGAGAGGCAAACTTAAGAAACTTAACTGGAAAGAAGTAGTGGCTAAGAGTGTGAGATTTGATGTCAGAAAGCCTGGATTCAAATTCCAGATCTATTCCTCCCTGCCTCTGTAGCCTTGAAAAAGACATTTAGAATCGTTTGAGTCTCAATTTTTCATCTATAAAATGAGGTAATACTTTTTCAAAGGGTAGTTAAGAGGTTTTGATTTTTAAAAATGCACTTAAAGCTCTACACCAATACTGACTCTTCTCAATTTTAAGTCACCTGGATATTCTCCTTCCTGTTCTTCGTCTTGTCACTGAGCTTTAAAATGATGAAATTCAGATTTAATTAAAACAGAAACCACACTTTTATGTATATAGTTTCCTATGAGTCCTAAAGGGCGTGAAAGGGCCACTATGGGAATTGTGAAGCCCTGTGAAGTTGGTTGTGTTTGCTGTTCTGCCTAAAAATTAATCCAGTTACAAGCTAGGTAGATTAAACAAGAATTAAACAGGTAAGAGTGGAAAAATTTTTTAAAAAGCTATTCTACTGAAGAGTTTTGCTGTACATGAAGCAGTGAAAGGTGAAAGGGATAACAGTAGAAGGGGAAATGTGGGGCCAAAAGGTTTGCCATTTGTTTTTAGATAAAATAAATTGAGCATGACTGTATGCTGTTGGGGATGATCCAGCAGAGCAGGGAAAACAGATGCTCAGGAAAGAGAGAGGACAGGGTCTGAGGTGATATCCTTGAGGTGAGAGTAGATGGCCTCTATTGTACAACTGGAGGGATTAACCTCAGATAAGAGCAAGGACAGAACATGCAGGGGGACCGGAGGGAGGGAAGAGGATGCGCGAAGACACAGGCAGGTGAGTGGCTTTCTCGGTAGGAACGTGTGAACCCTCTTCTGAGTGCTGCTCGTTTCTCTTTGAAAGAGGTAGGTAAGCTCATTAGCTGAGAGAAAGGGGAGAGAGGTGGTGAGATTTGAGGCAAGAGTGGAAAGTAGGAAAGATTTACCTAAACAGATGTATCCGTAGTTGTCTCCTGTCCATGTACTACTTTTATAATGTTAAACAATAACAAATTTATTTAAAAACTCCTTTAGTATTATCCCATTGCCTTCAGGAGAAATACAAATTCAATGGCATCAAATTAAAGACTTCCACTTCTTCTTTATAAACCTTAATCTCATCTCCTGTCACATTCTCCTTACACTCTATGTTCCATCTTTATCAGTTACTCAAGAATTCTCCTCAAAAGGCATTATGCCTCCTGGGGCCAACTGTATTTTCCAAAGGTGACTGCATAATATGACCCATCCCACATGTTCTTCTGTAATGTGACCTTGACAAGTGAAATTTACCTCTCCATCCCCTTGAATCTGTGTCCATTTTGACCAACTGAATATAGAGCAAATGGCACTGCCAGTTCTGGGAGTAGCTCTTAGCTGGCCTGGCAGTTTCTGTCACTGTGCCTTTTGGAATGCTTGCTCCTGGGACATAGCCTCTTGGAACCCAGGTACCATGTGGTGAGAAGCAAAAGCTACAAGAGCCATGTGCAGCCGTTTCTGATGGGCAGTCCCAGCTGGGATCCCAGCCAACACCCAGAATGAGCTGCCAGCCATGAGAGAGTCATCTTGCAATGTCCAGCCCAGCTGAAACTTCAGATGACTGAGCGCCAGACTACATCTGCCTGTAACACATGAGAGACCCTAATTAAGAACCTCCCAGATGAACTCAGTCGATCTACAGGCTTGTGAGAGATAATGTGTTCTTTAAGCCCCTAAATGATACGGTGGATGGCTATGCAGCAGTAGAGAACCAGAAGTACTGAGGGCTGCTGTGGGTGACAGCAGTCGTCATGGTAACAGGCAGTCATGGTAGACAGATGATTTAGGGTGAAATGACTCTGCCACTCCCTGGCTATGTGACCTTCGCAAGTTACTTGAATTCCTGAATTTCATTTCCCCATAAATGGGGATAATAATAACTACCTCACTTGACACAGTTCCTGGCCTTAGCTGATGCTGAAGAAGGGATAAAGTTTCTGCCTTCACCTTGGGCTTTAGCTTGGCCCACTGAGGAAAGAAATGTCTCGCCTACCATTTTACCTTTTCCCTTTATACCTACATACCAGCTCCTTACCGTGAGAAGAGTTGTTGATAATAGGATTTGATGAGCTTACATTTCACTAGTGGGCATAGTTATTGCATTGTGTGTATCTGTGAGCATGACCTGTTTTGTCTGTAATTAGATCGATGAGGAAATTCCAGCCAGCCTTGCTAGTGCAACTGCTCGAGTGTATTCATAGTCTGCCCTCACAGAACCAGCTTTATCTAAGATACAGATATGCAGATACAGGAAGCTACTTCAGCCTTGGGACAAAGCAGTGTCACTTCTCTTATTCATATTTTACTTTGACACTTCCTCCCAATAGGGAAACACTTTAAAAAAGGGAAAATAAAGGTCTTCCATTCAAAGTACTGACATACAGCAGGATCTCAATGTTTGTGTAATGAATTAACGTCTTACATACATTATAAATTTAAAGATATATGGGTATGTGCCTGTGTGTGGTGTGCATGATGTGTGCTGGTGTGTAACACCCACCTGCCCCTTCCCCATTTTTCTAACACAAACAAACAGCCAAAACCTAGATAAGGGTTTTAAGGTTATACCCCAAATCTAGCAGTTATGATATGAAGGGTATTGAGTTAAACAGAAAACTTGTGATAGCTTATTATCTACTACAGAAATAATGTAATGATCTCATGTATCAAAGGTTTTGCTAACTGAAGAATGAACGTTTTGAACTCATACGTAGATGCATAATTATAAAGTAACAGGTTTGACACTCTGAAATATCAGTTTTTAAAGCCTCTGTATTAAATTATTATTAATGCTGCCAAAAGCAATGCTATCTTGGCACTATTATTCCAAGTATGTAATTTAATGTACTACAGGTATCTTGCTAAAATGAACAATAACTATACAGGAGTCATAAATAAAAATATTTACTTCTATACCTTCATTGTCAGTATTGAGCTTGGCTTCCAGTTCTGCTATCTTGTGTCTTACTTCAAGCACCAAGAGTTGCACTATATCCCTATTATTAAACACATTTTGTTAATTATAATTCAATTAAAAATAACCTGAAAAGAATACTACATAGTAACCCACCACTACTTCAGAAACAACTTATTATGAAATATCACTTACTGAAGGCATGGCTGAGAATCAGGAATCAGGCAAAGGAGGGCTTCTGATTACCTGGGTCCAGGACACTAATATGCACTAAAGCTCAAAGCCCCCCAGGTAACCATTAAAAACCCTTTACGCTTAACTTTAACCCCAGAAGTTGGTCATCTGTTTCCTCAAAGCCCAGCAAATGAGCTGCAAATTATTATAGAAAGGAATAGCTAGGGCAACAGGTAACAACTGACAAACTGAAACAAAGAGGAAAAAAGAAACACTAATTAAAAAAGAAAACACACCTCCCCACCCCCACCCCCAGACACACAAATAGCATTCCAGAGATCATCTATTTAGGACATCAGTAAGCACATACTAGTTATCCAAATATGATGACAGAATCATTTATTCAATACATATTTTTGAATGCCTATTATGTTAAAGGCGTTGTGCTAAGTGCTGAAGATACCACAGTAAGTGAACAGAACAAAAGCAATACGTTAACTTTCACTGAATGTTTATACAAGCCAATGCTAAGTGGTTTACATACATTTCACTCAATTCTGGCCACAACCATAAGATGTGTGAGATGTGTGAGACTACATCAATCTCAGGCTTGAGAAAACTGAAGCTTGAGAGGTTCATTAACTTGCCCAAGATCATGCAGTTACTGAGAGATAAGAGCTGGGACTTGAATTTATGCAGGATTCCTCTAAAGTACTTGCTCCTACACTCTACGGCTTCAGAGAATAAGGAACCTGTCCTCAAAATGCTAGGTCTGATACCAGACCAAGAAATAACCAGCCGATTAAAAGTGTGGTTGGAGCTGTAACAGAGGAAGGCACAGGGAGCTTTAAGGACTCATCGCAGAGTCTAGCTCTCCTGGGGTCTGCGAGTGGGGATGGGGTTATCTTTAAAAAATATTTAAAATGTTTCAAATAATTATTAAGAAGTACTCACATTGAGTATTTAAGAAGTATATATATAGTAGGGGCATCATTTTTACAAAATGTCACTAATTCTTAAGTTCTTCTAAAGGGATGAAAGGGAAGCATAACTAAACGAAACCTTTGGAATTTGAAACAGAAAACCTGAATTCAGTGGAGCCTCAAAAGCAAACACAATTTCAGCGATATATGCACACAATACACTCAATTTGACTTGATCCCGAAGGTAGACCATCCTATCTCAGAGCCTGCCTATTTATAATACCAAATACAAGAGCGAGATGAGTCTTTCCCGTGAAACAGTTTTCTGGTGTCCCCAGTTCTGCCCAGGTTTTCATCACACTGCAGGTGTCACATCGGCCTCGGTGGCCGCGGCCCTGAACCGTGGGGCAGGCCCTCGGGCCTCGGGGAGGCGGCGCGGACGTGACCCTACACCGGGCGCGGGGGCGCGCGCCGCCCTCCAAACTCACTTCAGGTGCATTTCTTCCAGTAACTCCAGTTTGAGGAGGTCGATGCTCACGCCTTCGAAGTTGTCGCCTCTTCCTTCCTCCATAGAGTCAGATCAGAGGCCACCCACACCCGTCCCTGCACCCAGCCAAGAACACCAGACCTGAGGGAACACCCAGACACCGGGAGAGTGGGAGCATGGTCTCAGCTGTCGTCAGGGAGACCCACTCGCAGTCGCCGCCCGGCGCCTCCCGGTGACGTCACAGCGCGTCGCGCGGGCGCGGGGCGGGGGCGGGGCACCTGCTGGGCCGCCCGGGGCAGCTCAAACGCGGAGGGTTCTCTGTCCTGGGAACGCCTCCTGGAGAAAAGCGTCTCACAAGGGCTGTTTCCCCAAACAGTTGGAGGGGGCAAGACTTGCTCAGGGATGG